CAAATCGCCAAATAAAAATAATAGTAAAAAAAATAATACAAATAATCGCATTAGCACCAATAAGATTCAAAACAAAACATTGAATATAAAATGGCAATTAATCCTGCCAACTCAGTAGAAAAAGCGAAAGCGATAGATTCGACAACACTAACTATAGGTAAAGGTACAATAGTTACAAACATAGATTCCAGTAAAATATACCACTGCCGTTATTGCCGCTGAAGATGACATAAACAACAACAACATCAACGATGACAACAACAACATCAATTTCAAAGTCAATGTCATCATCATCATCGTCACCGCCGCCACTGTTGCCGCTGATATCGTTGCTGTCGCCACAACATCAGCAACAGCAACAACAACAGCGGTGGCACCTGCAGCGGCGGCAACAGCAGCAGCATGAACATCAGCGACAACAACAGCAGCAATATCAACAAAATCGAGAAAAATTAATGATGCCACCACCATCATCATTATCATCATCATCACCGCCATTGCTATTGCCACTGCGACCGCAGCCGCAATATCCACAATGGCATCAACAGAAACAACAACAATATCATCAGCAGCAGCAGCAGATACATCTTCATAACCAACATAACCCGCTGTATCAACAGCAGCAACTATATATGCAATACCAGCAAATGCATAAGCATCAGCATCATCAACAAAATCAACAATATCCACAGAAACAGCAACAGCATCTCTCCAATCAAATGCCATTGCTGTTGCAACCGCCAAGTATTCGAAATATCGCGGATATTGACATGGGGCCGTATGGGACGGTAATTGTGGACCTGGATCAAGGCCACTTAATACCGCTCCAACCGCAACTTCATCAAGAACAAGAACAGCAACAATCGCAGCAGTTACCATCAATGCCATCATTGCTGTCAACTGGCATGTCACCGCCAATATCATCAATATCATCATTAACAAAATAAAACATCAACTACAAACACAACCATACTCGTCACAAATGATGAAATTAAGCAACACCAGCAACAACAACAACAAGAACAGCAGCAGCAACAACTAAATAAACCAATAGAATTAGATTTACAATTAGATTTAGACTTAGATTTAGAAATCGAAAAATATAAACAAAAAGTAATGGAACATACAAAATGTAAAATTGATAAAAATACTCATATAAAAGAGCACAGCTCCAGTATAAACATAAGCACAAACACAAATACAAATACAAATACAACAAGAAAGGAAAGCTAACTTCGGGCGGAGCCGAAGTTTATATACCCTTGCAGTTAAAACCGGATATATATCGCAAACATCGGATATAGTTGGCCGATCCCTATGATTACATCATAATAAAACTAATTAACTAAAATAAAAAATCTAAAAAAAGTCCCAAACTTCTATCTTCAAAAATACGAAAGTTGGTATTTCTACCAAAAACCATTTCCGATCGTTCAGTTATATGGCAGCTATAAGATATAGTCGGCCGATCGTTGTAAAATTTGGTAGGTCGGATGATCTGACCAAAAATATAATCAGTACTAAGTTCCAGCTTTCTATCTTCAAAAACACAAAAGTTGGGTCATTTCGGATCGTTCAGTTATATGGCAGCTATAGGATATAGTCGGCCGATCCTAATGAAATTTGGTAGGTTGGATCATCTGGCCAAAAATATAATCTGTATTAAGTTTCAGCTTTCTATCTTCAAAAACACGAAAGTTGGGTCATTTCCGATCGTTCAGTTATATGGCAGCTATAAGATATAGTCGGCCGATCCTTATGAAATTTGGCATGTCGTAATGGTTTATCAAAAATAGCTCTCTTGTCAAATTTGAACTCTTTAACTTTAAAAACACCAAAGTTATACCATTTCCGATCAATCAGTTATATGGCAGCTATAGGATATAGTCGGCCGATCCGGGCCGTTCCGACTTATATACTGCGTGCAAAGGAAAGAAGGGTGTGCGCAAAGTTTCAAGACGATAGCTTCAAAACTGAGAGACTAGTTCGCGTAGAAACGGACAGACAGACAGACGGACAGACAGACGGACAGACGGACATGCTCATATCAACTCAGGAGGTGATCCTGATCAAGAATATATATACTTTATAGGGTCGGAGATGTCTCCTTCACTGCGTTGCACACTTTTGGACAAAATTATAATACCCTCTGCAATGGTATAAAGATACACCAATGACTGAGATAATAATCATTTTCCATTGGCAAAAAGATTAAAACCAACAATTTACATCATTATCACTATCACAATCGCCACAGCCACCACCATCACCGTTACCGTGGAACCGTTACGTTCCACGTTGACTTCGTCTTCCCACTCGATGATGGAGCTCTGCCCCTCACCGCCCCCTCCCGGAACCGTTACGTTCCACGTTGACTCCGTCTTCCCACTCGATGATGGAGCTCTGCCCCTCACCGCCCTCACTGACATTCCATCCGTTCACTGGTGCTCCGGGAACCGTTACGTTCCACGTTGACTCCGTCTTCCCACTCGATGATGGAGCTCTGCCCCTCACCGCCCCCTCCCGGAACCGTTACGTTCCACGTTGACTCCGTCTTCCCACTCGATGATGGAGCTCTGCCCCTCACCGCCCTCACTGACTTTCCATTCGTTCACTGGTGCTCCGGGAACCGTTACGTTCCACGTTGTTTCCGTCTTCCCACTGGGCGATGAAACCTTGCCCTTCTATTCGTCTGCTGCTGCTCCGGGAACCGTTACGTTCCACGTTGATTCCGTCTTTGCACTCGATGGTGGAACCCTACCCCTCCCCGCTCGTATTGGTCCTCGGCCTATCTCCTGCGGCCACCTAATGATTGGCCGGTGCTGCTCGCGCCCTGTCGCCGCTCTCGCGCCTCCTCGGCCCTCCTTGGCCCCACTCGGTTATCTGTCTTAGCGTGTAAGGAGACTAATTCTCCTCACAATATATATTATATACATATATATATTAAATCATAGATGGGCAAGCCCATGGCTCCTCTGGCTCTCAAGGCTCCCCCCGTTGAGAAAAATGATTAAGAATCAAAAAAAAACAAAAGCAACCAAAAACGAGAAAGGAAAGCTAACTTCGGGCGGAGCCGAAGTTTATATACCCTTGCAGTTAAAACCGGATATATATTGCAAACATCGGATATAGTTGGCCGATCCTTATGAGAATATGATAATATTACCCAATTTATTATAATACAAAAACCAAACCTAAAAATATCCCAAACTTCTATCTTCAAAAACACGAAAGTTGGGTCATTTCCGATCGTTCAGTTATATGGCAGCTATAGGATATAGTCGGCCGATCCTAATGAAATTTGGTAGGTTGAATCATCTGGCCAAAAATATAATCTGTATTAAGTTTCAGCTTCCTATCTTCAAAAACACGAAAGTTGGGTCATTTCCGATCGTTCAGTTATATGGCAGCTATAAGATATAGTCGGCCGATCCTTATAAAATTTGGCATGTCGTATTATTTTGCCAAAAATAGCTCTCATGTCAAATTTGAACTCTCTAACTCTAAAAACACCAAAGTTATACCATTTCCGATCAATCAGTTATATGGCAGCTATATGATATAGTCGGCCGATCCGGGCCGTTCCGACTTATATACTGCGTGCAAAGGAAAGAAGGGTGTGTGCAAAGTTTCAAGACGATAGCTTTAAAACTGAGAGACTAGTTTGCGTAGAAACAGACAGACGGACAGACAGACAGACGGACAGACGGACAGACGGACAGACGGACATGCTCATATCAACTCAGGAGGTGATCCTGATCAAGAATATATATACTTTATAGGGTCGGAGATGTCTCCTTCACTGCGTTGCACACTTTTGGACAAAATTATAATACCCTCTGCAAGGGTATAAAAAGGCAAATCGCCAAATAAAAATAATAGTAAAAACAAGAAAGGAAAGCTAACTTCGGGCGGAGCCGAAGTTTATATACCCTTGCAGTTAAAACCGGATATATATCGCAAACATCGGATATAGTTGGCCGATCCTTATGGGAATAGGAATATATACTCCAATTTATTACAATACAAAATCTAAAAAAAGTTCCAAACTTCTATCTTCAAAAATACGAAAGTTGATATTTCTATTAAATACCATTTCCGATCGTTCAGTTATATGGCAGCTATAGGATATAGTCGGCCGATCCTAATGAAATTTGGTAGGTTGGATCAACTGACCAAAAATAGAGTCTGTACTAAATTCCAGCTTTCTATCTTCAAAAACACGAAAGTTGGGTCATTTCCGATCGTTCAGTTATATGACAGCTATAGGATATAGTCGGCCGATCCTTATGAAATTTGGCATGTCGTATTATTTTGCCAAAAATAGCTCTCACCTAAAATTTAAACTCTCTAACTCTAAAAATACCAAAGTTATACCATTTCCGATCAATCAGTTATATGGCAGCTATAGGATATAGTCGGCCGATCCGGGCCGTTCCGACTTATATACTGCGTGCAAAGGAAAGAAGGGTGTGTGCAAAGTTTCAAGACGATAGCTTTAAAACTGAGAGACTAGTTTGCGTAGAAACAGACAGACGGACAGACAGACAGACGGACAGACGGACAGACGGACAGACGGACATGCTCATATCAACTCAGGAGGTGATCCTGATCAAGAATATATATACTTTATAGGGTCGGAGATGTCTCCTTCACTGCGTTGCACACTTTTGGACAAAATTATAATACCCTCTGCAAGGGTATAAAAATAATACAAATAATCGCATTAGCACCAATAAGATTCAAAACAAAAACATTGAATATAAAATGACAATTAATCCTGCCAACTCAGTAGAAAAAGCGAAATCGATAGATTCGACAACACTAACTATAGGTAAAGGTACAATAGTTACAAACATAGATTCCAGTAAAATATACCACTGCCGTTATTGCCGCTGAAGATGACATAAACAACAACAACATCAACGATGACAACAACAACATCAATTTCAAAGTCAATGTCATCATCATCATCGTCACCGCCGCCACTGTTGCCGCTGATATCGTTGCTGTCGCCACAACATCAGCAACAGCAACAACAACAGCGGTGGCACCTGCAGCGGCGGCAACAGCAGCAGCATGAACATCAGCGACAACAACAGCAGCAATATCAACAAAATCGAGAAAAATTAATGATGCCACCACCATCATCATTATCATCATCATCACCGCCATTGCTATTGCCACTGCGACCGCAGCCGCAATATCCACAATGGCATCAACAGAAACAACAACAATATCATCAGCAGCAGCAGCAGATACATCTTCATAACCAACATAACCCGCTGTATCAACAGCAGCAACTATATATGCAATCAACTGGCATGTCACCGCCAATATCATCAATATCATCATTAACAAAATAAAACATCAACTACAAACACAACCATACTCGTCACAAATGATGAAATTAAGCAACACCAGCAACAACAACAACAAGAACAGCAACAGCAACAACTAAATAAACCAATAGAATTAGATTTACAATTAGATTTAGACTTAGATTTAGAAATCGAAAAATATAAACAAAAAGTAATGGAACATACAAAATGTAAAATTGATAAAAATACTCATATAAAAGAGCACAGCTCCAGTATAAACATAAGCACAAACACAAATACAAATACAAATACAACAAGAAAGGAAAGCTAACTTCGGGCGGAGCCGAAGTTTATATACCCTTGCAGTTAAAACCGGATATATATCGCAAACATCGGATATAGTTGGCCGATCCCTATGATTACATCATAATAAAACTAATTAACTAAAATAAAAAATCTAAAAAAAGTCCCAAACTTCTATCTTCAAAAATACGAAAGTTGGTATTTCTACCAAAAACCATTTCCGATCGTTCAGTTATATGGCAGCTATAAAATATAGTCGGCCGATCCTTATGAAATTTGGCATGTCGTAATGGTTTATCAAAAATAGCTCTCTTGTCAAATTTGAACTCTCTAACTTTAAAAACACCAAAGTTATACCATTTCCGATCAATCAGTTATATGGCAGCTATAGGATATAGTAGGCCGATCCGGGCCGTTCCGACTTATATACTGCGTGCAAAGGAAAGAAGGGTGTGCGCAAAGTTTCAAGACGATAGCTTCAAAACTGAGAGACTAGTTCGCGTAGAAACGGACAGACAGACAGACGGACAGACAGACGGACAGACGGACAGACGGACATGCTCATATCAACTCAGGAGGTGATCCTGATCAAGAATATATATACTTTATAGGGTCGGAGATGTCTCCTTCACTGCGTTGCACACTTTTGGACAAAATTATAATACCCTCTGCAATGGTATAAAGATACACCAATGACTGAGATAATAATCATTTTCCATTGGCAAATTTGAAGTCAGATTTTCAAAATTCAATATGGCGGATCCAATATGGCGGACGAATTTTCGAACAATTTTTGGATTTTCATGAAACTGGGTACTTAGGGGTTTTTGGGGTCGCTGATTACGAATCTAAGGTCAGATTTCCCTAATTCAATAAGGCGGATTCAATATGGCGGACGAATTTTCAACAATGAAAATCCACGAATTTTTTGAAAATTAGTCCGCCATATTGAATTTTGAAAATCTGACTTCAAATTCGTAATCAGCGACCCCAAAAACCCCTGGGTACCCAGTTTCATAAAAATCCAATAAATTAAAAATAAAGTCGCATACCTCCAAAAATGTAAAACTTTTTTTGAGGTTAGGAAGAAACGTACACGTGCAGGACCAAAACGGACTTCAGATTCGTGTTCAGCGGTCCAAAATACATGGGAATAGGGTACTCTGATCTCCCAACCCGGACACTTTTTTTTTTTTGTGTGTTATCTTTAAATAATGACTTGGAAGAAAATAATAAATTTCGAATAAATCATCTTAATGAAGAAGAAAGAACTAAATTAAATAACATTTTATTCGAATTTAGTGATATCCAGTATAGGGAAGGTGAAAATTTGACCTTTACCAGAGCTATCAAACATTCAATCCAAACCAAACATGAAGATCCTATTTACAAAAAACCTTATAAATACCCCCAAGCTCATGATCAAGAAGTCGAAGTCCAAATTAAAGAAATGATAAATCAGGGAATAATACGTAAATCGAAATCCCCTTATCGTTCTCCAATATGGATAGTCCCAAAGAAAGAGGATGCCTCAGGGAAAAAGAAATTTAGAATAGTAATAGACTATCGAAGTCTAAATGAAATAACTATTGATGATAAGTATCCGATACCAGTTATGGATGAAATACTTGACAAACTTGGAAAGTGTCAATATTTTACAACAATTGACCTTGCCAAGGGTTTTCATCAAATTCAAATGGATGAAAATTCTATTTCAAAAACAGCTTTTTCAACTAAAAATGGACATTACGAATATACACGAATGCCATTTGGTCTGAAAAATGCGCCTGCAACCTTCCAACGTTGCATGAACAATTTATTAGAAGATTTAATGTACCAGGAAAGAAGGGATGTACCTTGTTTATATGGATGACATAATTATATTTTCTACTTCATTAGAGGAACACATATTGTCTATAAAAAAGGTGTTTTCAAAACTTCGAGAAGCTAATCTTAAACTTCAACTTGACAAATGTGAGTTTATGAAAAAGGAAACCGAATTCCTTGGACATATAATAACAACAGAAGGAATAAAGCCAAACCCCAAAAAAATTGAGGCAATACAAAAATTTCCAATACCAAAAACACAAAAAGAAATAAAATCATTTTTATGTCTCTGTGGATTTTATAGAAAATTCATACCTGATTTTGCTAAAATTGCAAAACCCATGACAGTAAACTTAAAGAAGGGTTCAACTATATTCATCAGATAAAGAATATTTAGAAGCATTTGAGAAATTAAAACTTCTCATTACATCAGACCCAATTTTAATTTACCCTAACTTTGAAAAACTATTTTCTCTAACAACAGATGCTAGCAACGTCGCCTTAGGCGCAGTATTATCACAAAATCATAAACCTATTTGTTATGCTAGTAGAACTCTTCGTAGAATTTCGTAGAATGAACACGAAATTAATTATTCAGCAATAGAAAAAGAGCTTCTGGCTATAGTCTGGGCCACTAAATATTTTAGGTCTAAATATTTTAGGAAAATTCGAAATTCTTAGCGATCATAGACCATTAGTTTGGCGTCATAATATAAAAGAACCAAATATGAAACTACAAAGATGGAGAATAAAATTAAACGAGTTTGACTTCACTATTAAATATTTGCCGGGAAAGGAAAACCAGGTAGCTGATGCTCTGTCAAGAGTAAAGCTAGATGAAAATTTTTTAGGAGAATCACCGGATAGTAACCCATCATTACCCACAATAGCAACAGTACATAGTGCGCAAGAAGACAATCAGAATTATATAGAAATAACAGAAAGACCTTTAAACTATTACAATAGACAAATTGAATTCCATAGAGGAAATTCAAATGAAGTTAAATTGACTCAATACTTTCATAAAACCAACCTTAAAATAATGTATAAAGAAATGACCCATGAATATGCAAAAGAATTAATTAAAGAATATTTATGGTCCAAAAAAAAGTGTTATTTATTTTCCTTGTGAAATGGACTTTATAATATTTCAAAATGATTATGTAGAGATTATCTGCCCAAATAACTTAACCAAAGTTATGAAAACCAGTACAATATTAATAGATGTCCAAACATTCGCAGAATTCAAGGAAATTGTCCTTAAAGCTCACGTAGAATTATTACATCCAGGAATAGAAAAACAAACAAGCCTTTTTAAAGAAAAATATTATTTTCCCGATTATCAGAGATTAATTCAAAATATTATAAATGAGTGTGAAATTTGTAACCTTGCCAAAACAGAGCATAGAGATACTTACATTTGAATTAACCCCAGAAACCTTTAACCCCAGAGAAAAATATGTTATAGACTTTTACATGATCGATAATAAACAATTCTTATCTTGCATTGATATTTATTCCAAATATGCTGCTTTAATAAATGTCAACAGTAGGGATTGGTTAGAGGCAAAAAGGGCATTACTCAGGATATTTAATGAAATGGGTAAACCAAAAGAAATTAAAGCCGACAAAGATTCCGCATTTATGTGCTCAGCATTGCAACTTTGGCTGCAATCAGAAGATGTAAGAATAACTATAACCACAAGTAAAAATGGCGTTTCTGACATAGAGAGATTTCATAAAACTATTAACGAAAAATTAAGAATTATAAATATTGAACGGAATCCTGAAAATATAATTACTAAATTTGAAACAATTGTTTATATTTATAATCATAAAACAAAACATAGCTCTACAGGCAGAACACCAGCTGACATTTTTATTTTCGCCGGAATTCCAAGTTATAATACTCAAGTGAATAAAACACAGAAAATAAACAAGCTTAATAAAAATCGTCATACATTCGATATTGATACTAGGTATAGACAAGGCCCACTTGTAAAATCTAAAACAACAAATCCTTTTAGGAAGACAGGCCAAATTACACAAACCGACGAAAAACATTATGTAGAAAAAAATAGAGGTAGAGAAATCACTCACTATAAATCGAAATTCAAAAAGAAGAAGAAAATTAATACCAGCAAATATAATAATTCCAGATTTCCACCGGAAGACAACCCAGCTTAATAAAATTATCTTTTATATAATAACTTTATTATGTCTTATATATCACGCCGTGTGTCAGAACATAGATATCAATCCAATCCAAGCAAAAAATGGATACATAATTTTCCAAACAGGTAACATAGATCTGCCCACTAATTATGAATATCATTGTCTCACAGTCAATTTAACTAAAACTGAAAAAACTTATAAAAATCTAATGGAACAAACACGCGAATTTGAACATTTGGATCAAATTCAATATCTAAAAGAAAAATTAAATAGAGAAATGAACGGAATCAAAATTGCTCAACGAAACAAGAGAGGACTTGCAAATTTCGTAGGTACCTTTTATAAATATTTATTTGGCACATTGGATCAACAAGATAAGGAAGAATTAGAATCAAAAATTGATAATTTGTCCGAAAATAGTATACAGATCAACGAATTAAATAAAGTAATTGATGCAATTAATAAAGGAATAGAAACAGTCAATCGTTTAAATGAAAACCAAAACGAAAACCAAAGGTTAGCAATCCTTATTTTCAATTTACAAGAATTTACAAAATACGTAGAAGACATTGAATTAGGAATGCAATTTACAAGATTAGGCATATTCAACCCAAAGCTCCTAAAACATGACCCGCTTAAACATATTAATTCAGAAAAATTGTTAAATATCAAAACATCTACTTGGTTACAAGTTAATACTAACGAAATATTGATAATTTCTCATATTCCTCGTACTATTA